CCTCAAATGGGAAAAACTTTTTACCAGCTATTCGTCAAAGGACTAATGTCTAGAATATACAATAACTAAAAAATATCAGACCTTTCAAATTTAAAGGCCCAATCAAAAAATGAGTATCTGAAATGAAAAGATACTTCTCAGAAGAAGTATCAACAGGAAATAAATATATAAAAAATGTTCAATATCACTGGTCATTTAGAAATGTAAACTAAAACAATGCTGAGATTCCATCTCACTTCAGAAAGAATGACTATCATCAAGAAATCAACCAATAACAAAGCAAGGCTGTGGGGAAAAAGGAACCCTTCTCTACTGCTAGTGGGAGTGTAAACCAGTAAAATCAATACGGAAATCAGTATGAAGATTCCTCAAAAAACCCAAACTAGAGGTTCCATTTGACCATTCTCCTTCTTGGTATCATCTCAAAGAGATAAAAGAATCATACCACAGCAATTTATGGAAACCCGTGTTTACAGCAGCACAATTTATGATAGCCAATAGCTAAATGTTGGAAACAGCCCAGATGCCCAACAACAGATGAATGGATAAAGAAAATGTGGTCTTTATATACAACACAATACTACTCTGCCATGAAGGATAAACTTGGGACATTTTTAGGTAAATGCATGCACCTTAAGATCATACTTTTAAGTGAAATGAGTCAGATATATGTGTTTAAATATTTCATTGTTTCTGTTGTGTGAGAAACTGAAAGCATAAATAAGGACAAAAATGGATGAAGGAAGTAGGAAGAAAATGTTCCAATGGGAAGGAAAGAAGGGAGGGAGAATGGGGAAGGGAAAGAAGGGAAAAGGGGGGAAAAGGTAATAGAAGAAAATGGAAAAGTTTTACAAAAAAGGAGGGGAAGAAAGGTTGAAGGAAGCAGAGGAAAATGGGGAAAAGAAGAAGAATCAAGATATAGTATGTACAGGTATAAACTGCCTATGATGAATGTGATTATATATATCAAGAGTAACAAAATTTAAAAATAAATTACACACAAAACAAGCCCAAAAGACTCCAAGATTTATTATTATGATAACTATGAGCAAGACATGGCGGTACACATCTGTAATCCCAGCATTTGTGATGCTAAAGCCTAGACTACACAGCAGTGAGAACCTGTCTCAAAAAAAAACAACTTCCCAAAGAGCTCTATAGTGCAATCCCTATTGTTATGGCTTTTCTCTAGATATTCTCCCAAACCCTATACATTCATAGGTGGGGCTTTTGGGAGGTGGCTGGATCTAGGGCAGCAATAGCAAACCTTTTTTTTTCCCCCCTTATTGAGTTTACTGGTACATTTTAGGTATACAGTACAGTTACATTCATTATTGGGATCTTGTACCTTTACATGACAGGTCTTGGTTCTCACTTTTTTCCCTTGCCCCTGCCCTCCTCCTTTCACCCCCTCCTCCCCTCTCCATTTACAAACACTTTTCCATTTTCTCTTATTTTTTCTTTTCCCTTATTACCTTTCCCCTACCCTTCCCACTTTCCCTACACCATTAGCCCTTTTCTTCCTATTTCACACTGTCAATTATCTCATTAGGATCTTATGTACTATTATAGTTTTTCACAACAGAAACTATTCAGTTTACACATGTGTGACTTATTTAATTCACTTAGGAGTATATCTTCAATATGTCTCCATTTTCCTATGAATGAATCTAATTTCTCATTCTTCATGGCTGAATAGTATTCCATTTTATAGAAAAACCACATCTTCTTTATCCAGTCTCCAACTGATGGGCAAATGGGCTGTTTCCAAGTTTTAGCTATTACAAACTGTGCTGCTGTAAACACAGGTGTGCATATATCACTGTGATATGATTCTTATTAATTCTTTTGGAAAGATACACAGCAGAGGGATGGCTAGGTCAAATGAAACCTCTAGTTCCAGGTCTATGAGGTTATCTCCATATTGATTTCCATAGTGATTGCACCAGTCTGCATTCCCATTAACAGTGGAGGTTTTCTTTCTCCCCACAACCCTGCCAACAATTGTTACTGTGTGATTTCTTGATAGCAGCCATTCTTTGTGGGGTGAGGTGGAATCTCAGTGTTGTTTTCATCTGCATCTCTCAAATGACCAGTGATGTGGAACATTTTTTCATATATTTACTTGCTGCTTTTACTTCTTTGTCTCAGAAACGTCTGTTCATTTCAGATGCCCATTTTTGAATAGGGTCTTTATATTTGGGGGGGCTAACTGTTTTCAGTTCTTTATATATTCTAGATAAGAGCCCTTTGTCTGAGGAGCAGCTGTTAAAAATTTTTTCCCACATGGTAGGTTGTCTTAGTTTTGTTGATGGTTTCTTTTGCAGTGCAGCAGCTTTTTAATAAGATGAGATCCCACTTGTTGATTCTTTCTGCTAGTTCCCGAGCTACTGAGGATTTGTTCATAAAGTCTTTTCCTATGCCAATGTCTTCAACAGTTCTGCCTAACTTATCTTCCAGCAAGTTTAGTGTTTCTTTTTTAGTATTTATATCTTTAATCCACTTCAATTTTAGTTTAGTGCATGGTGAAAGATAATGGTCTAGTTTTAATCTTTGGCAGGTTGAAATCCAGTTTTTCCAACACCGTTTATTAGAGACTATCTTGCCTCCAGTGAGGATGGTCAGCTCCTTTGTCAAAGATGAGGTAGCTGAGTACATCTGTAGTTGTTTTTGTATCTTCCAGTCTGTTTCACTGATCCTCAGATCTGTTTCTTTGCCACTACCATGCTGTTTTTATCACAGTGGCTTTGTAGTATAGTTTGAAGCTGGGGATTCTTATACCTGCTGCCATGTCTCTGTTGCCTAGGTTGGCTTTTGCTATTCTTGGTCTCTTCTGGTTCCAAATGAATTTTTGGATTATTTTTTCTAGTTCTGTGAAATATAGTGTTAGAATTTCAATTGGCATTGCATTCAATCTGTTTAGCAGTTTTGGTAGGATGCCCATTTTCACTATGTTGATTCTTCCTACCCAGGAGCAGGGGATATCTTTCCGTTTTCTTATATCCTCTTCGATCACTTTTTTCAGAGTGCTGTAGTTTTCAGTGTATAGGTCTTCTTGTTTCTTTCATTAGATTGATTCCTAGATATTTCATTTTTTTGAATGCTACTCTGATTGTTTTCCTAATTTCATCAAACAGCAAGTGGTAAGACAGAGCAAATCAGGAGGTCAAACTTCTATCTCTGACAAAAACTTACAATAAACACAGATTTTAAGTCTTCCATTTTTATAAGCTTTGTAAATCTATTTCTGTTCCTCATGTATTTTTATTACTATCAATTAATATATACTTTAATAGACTCCTGTAGATTGCACTGAATTTAAAGGTTTGTCAACTCAACTTCTTTGAGAATGTTTCATGTGGTGATGTTCCACACATGCTACTGTACAAAGTACTTCCTTAACACTTCATACCAAGTACTGACCATTACATATGCTAACTCATCAATTAACCAAGAGTGCACTTATACCTATATTTTATTTTTGTGAAGTCCTGCTGTACTGACAGATTCTGTCTAGAATTTTCTAATCTTTGTATTATTTTCAGTGAGCTAGAAATATTGTGATGAGTACTTAAAGTCTGGTAGTGTTAACTTATATTATATTCTTTTGAAATAGCTACAGTATAATTCATTGCATAATGAAAACAATATTTTGCCATGTAATTCAATAATAATCCATGCTCCAATGTGTTTTAAAAGTCTGATCCACAAAGTCCACTTTTCTTTTTATCAGTTCTTTTGACATGAGTACAAACAGTAAAAATAATATAAACATCCCAGTATGTGTGGCATTTGAAATGCATGAACTTGTAACTCTTCTGATCTATAGGAAACCAAACAGAAGAGTAAAGTATTGAAAACATCACATATGGTTGCAGTGAGCACTGTTCAATTCTATCTGCTGTTGTAGCTTGAAGAAGTCACAGACAGAATATAAATATGTGAACATATTTGTAGTTCAATAAAACTATTTATGGACACTAAAATTTAGATATCACAATTTCCAAGTGTAAAAAAATATTCTTTGATTTGTTTCGATCATTTAAACATACAGTAATTATTTTGAGTCCACAGACTATATATAAATAGGCAGCAGGGTAGATCTGGAATCTGTTAGTCTGCCAACTTCTAATACAGCAAGTGCAGAATAATTCAACACAATTGACTATTTGGTACATTTTCGGATTATTAATATAATACAACAGATGAGAAAGAAAACTGACAGGAAGATAAGTGGTCTAATGGTTAAGAGAATAAAATATGAATTCCCAAATTTACATTTTATTTATCCAATGTACACCATTTGTGTGATGTTAGATATAGCTTAATTTTCAGAGCCTCAATTTATTCAATGTATTATGAAGGATAATTTAATTCAAAGCACAGATCTAAAAATGAAATGAGATAATCATTTCAAATTGGTAACACTTACAATGAAAATGCTCAATACATGTTAACCATATATGTTATTGCCACTGCAAATCAGATGAAAATGACACCCCTAAATATGACAGTGATAAAATATACACTGAAAAGATAAAATTAACCAATTATAGACACATGTAATAGAGTAAGAAGTGCAGAAACTCAAAAGCTATAAAAATTTAATATGATACAATCATATAAAGTTTATTATTTTGTGGAGTATCCTTTGAAATGGAAGGCAAAACTTAAATATAAATTCAAGAATACTGTATAAATATGAAAAATAGCTTTAAAAAACTGGATCGGATTTCAGGAACAAAAGAAGAAAGTGAGACAGTCAGATAATAGGTCCCATGTTTAGGAATGGCAGGATGTAATAAAGTCAACAAAGATACAGTAGGTAGAAGAACAGAACATAGTATATACATAAGAGAATTAACCACGGCAATTCTTATCATAGGAAGATAAACGCTTACATATTTGAAAGATTAAAAGGAAGCCATCTAAGAGAAGCAAACTTAAATACAATATAATGATTCCATAGGAAAACAATTAAAGTTGAAAAATCTACTTACTGAAACAGCTATCATGGTACTATTTGGCCTCCATTCAGCTTGTTTATAGGATCCAAACTGAGTAGATGATTTTGCAGGTTCCTTGTAGGTTACAATTAATACACTAGGCTGGAAAAAAATAGTGTTTTCATTAATAGCTCATAAAAACATAAAAAAACTTCAATTAACTTATAAAATACTCTGAAAACATCTTAAAAGATAATAAACCTAATGTTAAATCATCAACTTTCAAAACTCCAAGCAAATCAGACAGTATTAACCTTTACCTATTAAAAAAACTGAATCAATAATTAGTAACTTTCCAAAACAGAGCCAGCCCCAATGTGATCACTGGTGAAATCAACCAATACTTGAAGAAATTATACAAGTCTTGTACAAAGCCTTCTGGAGGACAGAAGGGGCTAGGGTACGAATGATAATCCTAAATCACTCTACAAGGCCAGTATTATCTTAATACCAAAACCAGACAAAGGCAATATATGAACACTACAGACTAAAATCTCTCATGAACATAGGTGCAAATTCCCAACAAAATGTTAGTAAACCAAGCCTAACAATATATAAAAAGAAGTATGCACAACCAAGTGGGATATATCCCAGGCATGCAAGACTGTCTCAGCACCAGAAAATAAATGACTATAATCTATCACATCAACAGGATAAAGGAAAAAATTACATAATATCAATAAAAGAAAAAACATTTGATGTGATCTAACAAGTATTCATGATAAAAACTCAACAAAGTATAGAGAGGAACTTCTCCCATGTGATAATGAGCACCTACAAAAACCCCACATTTAATTTATTTAGAGAGAAGCTCAAAGCTGTCCCATCAAGTTCAGGAAGAAGGCAAAAATCTTCAGTTTTTCAACACTGTACCAAGAGTCCTAACTGAAGTAAATGGTATACATACTGAGAAGGAAGAAATAAAACTATTTATCCATAGATACCACGATCATCTGTGGAGAAAATCTGAAACAATCAATAAAAACCAAACCTTCAAAACTACTAAGCAAAGACAGCAAAGTGCAGGATACAAAGTTAATACGTAAAAGTCAAACACTTGCAATGAATAAGTGGAATTCGTAATTTAAAACATTTATGCATTTACACAGTCCCCCAAATGAAATACTGTGTCTAATAGAAGATTTATATGAGGAATACAACTAAGATGAACTATACCAAATAAATGAGCATATGTTCCAGATTAATGGATATGAAGAGTCAGTAATACCGATGTCAGTTCTTCCCAATCTGATGTACAGACTCAATATAATCTTAGACAAAGTCCTAGCAAGTTATTTTGTGGCGGTCAACAAACTCTAAACTTTATACAGAGAGGCAAAACACCAAGGAGGGTCAACTCAATATTGAAAAATATGCTGAAGAATGGTTACTGCTTAACTTCAAGACTTAAAAAGCTAAATAATCAAGAGTACATGGCATTGGTGAAAAAGAAACAAACTGGTCAAAGAAACGCAATGGAGAGCCTAGAAACAGACCCACATAAATGGAATTAACTGATCTTTGACAATGGAGTAAAGGATACAAAGGAGAAAAGAGTCTTAAACAATGGTAGAACAATGAACAAAAACATTCATTAAAAAGAATCTACATCCTTCACAAGAATTAATTCAAAACAAATCACAGTCCTAAATGTAAAATGTAAAATTCTTAGAAAATAACTCTTAGAAGCAGAAAAACCTAGAGGACCCTAGGTATGGCAACAATTTTTTATAGACAATACAAAAGGTACAACCTTCAACAGAAATAACTGATAAACCAGACTTCATTAAAATCTAAACCATTGCGTGAAAAACAATCAAGGGAATGAGGACAGAAAGCCACAGACTTGGAGGAAATATTTGTAAAGGACATAGTTGATAAAGAACAGTTACCAAAAAAAAAAAATCTAAAAAACTGATTTTTAAAAATAGGCAAAAGAACTCAAAATATACCACACTAAAAAGATATAAATCAAAAATAAACATGGCAAGATGTTTAACATCTTATGTCCTTAGAAAAGCAAACTGAAGCAAGATACCACTATACTCTTATTAGAATGGCCAAATCCAATACTGATACCAAATGCTAGTGAGGATACAGAGCAATAGGAACTCTCAGTTACTGCTGTTGAACGCAAAATGGTACAGGAACTTTGGAAGATAGTTTGGCAATTTCTCACGAAAACTAAACATACTCTTACATATGATGTAGCATTTGCAGTCCTTAATATTTATGCAAATTAGCTGAAAATATGTCCACACAAAAACTGACATGGCACTTTTACTCATAAAACTATCAAAAGTTGGAAGTAATCAAAATACCTTCAATAGGCTTAAGACTAAAAAATAAAGTCTTTTAAATATATAAAGATAACCCACAAAGAATTCAACCAATATCTACTACATAGCTAAGGAGGTACAATTTAATAAACCAAAAAGCAATGAGCTCTATTATCTTATAAAACACATAGGCTATGTGGAAAAACAAAGTATATGTAAGAAGAATTCAAGGAAACCAGGCTACATATATTCAAACTCTACACTGTGATAATGATGCTGTATTTGGACTTCAGCATTTCAAGCACTTTGATATTCATTACATTTTTGGTAGGGAGTTTAAATGCTGTAAGTAATGAAATAATGTAGAAGATAGCCAGGAAACTTCAATGAAACAGATTTTGAAGAATCTAGAAGAGTAGTATGGTTTAGTACAAGGAAGTAGTATCAGCAAAACTTAAGTGGCACTCAAAACAATAAAGAAATTAGATTGAACAATGGGTTTACTGTGGGACACTAGAAAGACAAAAAGGTTAAATAGTGTAGACCAATTATTAAAGATCTCATATGCTAGAATGAGGAATTTAGCCTTAATGCTATAAGTAACAGTCATGTTTCTATTTCCCAATTATATAAGATTTATACAAGATTTACCAAATAAGCCAGGCATAGTGGGGCACACCTGTAATCCCAACACTTAAAAGGCTGAGGCAAGAGAGCACTACCAGGAGTTCAAGGCCAGCCTGAACTACATAGCAAGACCCTGCCTGAAAAAAAAATTTTTTGTCAAAAAATAAATTGTACTGATACTGCTAAAGCAAAGAATAACGTCTAAATGAAACTGGTATTTAACTAACAATCTACAGTACTGTAAGTGGAAAAGAGACTTTAGAAAAAATTCAAAAATAATTTTCTATGAAGTGATTTCAGACAATAGCAGGAAAACTTGGACTAACTGTCCAGTAGATAACAACTGTTAAGATTCTAAAACTAAAATTTCAAGGCAATGGAGAGCAACCTAAGTAGGCAAGAACTGGATTGTGGCTTCAAGTGAAAGGGTGTGCCACGTAAGACTTGTGGATCTGCCGCTTTTTGCCAAAAGGTACAACTCAATTTGTGCCTGGCACAGGGTAATAGAAAGTCATAGATTTGCTGGTTTTGAGGCATCAGGAAACAGTTTCCTGATATTACTACTGGAAAGTTATGGAGAAAATTCTAAAAGGAATGGTGTCTCAGTCAAGATCAACCTCAAAAATGCATGTGAACTCTAACATTTAATAGGCCAACTAATCTGCATCTGTAAGGGAAGACTACTGCACATGAAAAAGCAGTAATAATTGGTAGTTGAGAGAAAACGGTAATGTCAGATATTGTCTACCACAAAGGAAACTGAATTTGAAGTCTACATTCACATGAAGTAACAGCCTGAGCAACATATATAGATGTTCTTCATAACCGTATATCAAAAATCTGGCCTCTATATAGTATAAACTGTGCATTACATATGACATCAAAAAAATCAGTAAACATGGAAAGGAACAAGAAAAGAGAAAGTGACAGTCAAGAAATTTTAAAGCAAAAATTATAAATAGTATGCTGAAGGACTTAAAAGTATATTCATAATGAATGGGATAAAAAACTCAAAACAAACTATTTTAAAAAAAATAATGAGGGCCGGGGATTTAGCTCAGTGGCTTGGTGGCCTGCCTTGCAAGCGCAAGGACCCAAGTTCAATCTCTGGCACCTAAATAAATAAACAAACAAACAAACAAACCAATGAAAATTCTAAGCTGAAAAACAACTAAAAGCTCACCCATTTTTATAAATTATACAAATAAATCTGTAATAAATAAAATTTATCTAATCTGAGAAAATGAAACAGGATAGTATAAGCAGTATAAAGAACAAGAGTGATCATTTCAAGCAACAATAATAGGAGTCCAAGAATAATAAAAGAGAATGGGGCAGAAAAATATATATGAAAAAATAATACCTGAAAATTTCCCAAATTAAAACTTTAAGACTCAAAAAAAATTTGACAAGCTAGAGTTTGAGACAGGAGGATCCTGTGAATTTGAGGGCAGCCTGGACTACATAAGTACAAGGTCAGCCAATCTCACAAATAAAAATATATTAAAAAAAATAAGACTTGACAAATCTCACACAGAATAAAAAAAATCATATCACATTCAAACTGAGAAAAACCAAAGATAAACAGGCACTCTTTTTGGGGGACATGGTGGTGGGGTGGGTTACTGGAGATTTAACTCAGGTCCTTGTACTTGCGGGGCAGGCAGTGAAACCACTGAGCTAAATCCAGGCCCTAAATAGGCATCCTGCAAGAAGCCAACAGAGACAGAGAGACAGACAGACAGACAGACAGACAGAGACACACACACGCGCACACACACACACACACACACACACACACACACACAGAAAGATTCATTTATCTACTGTTGTCTGTAAAATGGGATAATACAAAAAGGAGTTGAAAATAAAACAGAAAAACATACCATGCAAATAATAAACCAAAACGGTTGGAATGATACTAAATTCAGATAAAATAAGTTTAACTTAAATACTACTACTAAAGATAAATATTTCCTAATAATGAAATGGTGAATTCATTACGAAGGAAAACTATTATACTTGTACCTACTAATAAAGCTTTAAAATATATTAAAGAAAAATGTAAATGATTAAGAGACAAATACACAATTATAATCAGTGATACCTCAGTCAGTAGTTTATAAAGTTGGATCAAAATATAGTTATTCATTCTTCTGTGTCAGAGGCTGGAAATTTTCTGAAAAGCATCTAAGAGAAAATCACACAGACTCTGTGAGACACAATCTGTCATATACTCCTTTTTTTTTCTTCTGCATCTTTCCTTTAAATAACCTTTAAAGCACAAAACCATTCTTTGTTTCCAAACTACACAAAAAAAGACCTCCAAAAGGCCAGATTGCCAACTCTTCACTACTCTGTACCATTCATTCCCACACCATAATCAGCTTCTAGCTCCCCTGGTGTTCTGCTGAACTAAATGTTTTGTTTCTCAAGGGTAAACTAACATGTGCACGCGTGCGCGTGCGCACACACACACACACACACACACACACTCAATTTTCCTGGCCACTTTTCAATTCCATGATCTTGGAGCACTTAGTTTCCACCAGTTAAGAGTTTCAGTGTCTTTCCTCATTTTTCATGACACTGCCATTTTTCTGAAAATAATAGTTCTGGATTTCTTAGGATGTCCCTCCATCTGTATAAGTCATTCTATCTCAAACTCACAGGCATTAACTTTAGCACTCTCTGTGGATCTTGCCTGTTGCAATTATGTGGCATTCTAATGGCAGGTAGTATTCTATTTTCTTCACTTTTCTATAGTTAGATTTGGAACATTTCCGTAAGGAAAATTGGCCCCTTTTTATTTAATCATTTATGTAAATACAAATTCATGGATACTTTTAATTTTAAGCCAATAGTACCATGGTTTGTTGCTCAAGTTGTTTCAATTCTGACAGAAGAAAGGGTTTCAGGCTAACTCCTATAGCCCTTGAGGGGGGAAAGGGATTTTAGTTCAGTGGCACCATGCCTGGCATGAGACCCTGAGTTCAAACCCTGGTACACAAAAAAAAAAAAAAAAAAAAAAAAAA